TATAAGTTTCATAAAATATGGGTCGATAGCAAAAAAAATTAACTCGATTGTCGAAAAAAACCATGTCATTTCATTCGTTACTGTCTTTTTGTGTATGACAGCATAATTAATTTATTTCCTAAAATTCAATTATCATAATTATCAACTTCAAAATGAGATTTTAAAAGTGTAATTTTGGTAATATTAGTTGTAAATACATTTCCATAATTCGATAACTACCAAATGTGCGTTTACGAACATTAATTTTACAACCATATTTTTGCATGTATGTTAGATTATTTTACAAACGTCTTATATTGAATATATATATATACCAAGTGTCATATTTAACTTTTAATTAAAAAATAATAATGTCTACATGATACATAAATAATCTAGTATAATATTTTGAAATTTTTTATTTTTTAAAATATAAAATTCACTGCACACATAATCAAACATATTCCCAGATGTATGGGAGAGGATAATTTGAAAATTTAATTAAGAAAGTTAATTTATTTAGTTTAATATTGATGATTTATAAGTCTGATGTTTAATTTTGTTTACAGTCAAATGAATATGTGACAAATATATAATTTATGCTTGATTTTACTTTGATGGCATTATTTTTTAATATAAATTTAATATTAATATTGAGTGTCATGAAAAATCTTATTAGATAAAGAAAAATTATAAATATATAATGGAATAATATCTTATTTCAATGATATTCTGAATAAAACAAAAAAAAAAAAAACCTTTTTTTTATATATTTTTTTTGTCTAAAATATATAATAGATACCATCAATTATTGTTTTTAATTATTAAATATTTCGACGATTTTATTAAATTTAGTCTTTTTGTTTATATATTGGAAAAATAGGTGGATTAAGAAAGTTTGAATCCATTGTTATTCTTATAATTAATTGTCAAATGCTTAATTACACTCTTGATTTTTCAAGGGAATAGTTTGTTTTTTACCAGTAAAGATGTCAATTAAAATATAATTTAGTAGATAAAATATTGATTCATGTATAAACGGGTATTTGACATGAATTTATTTAAACCAAGAATATTTTATTTAAAAAAAAAAGATTAATCATATAAAAAAATTATATACTCAAATTTATTTAAACCAAAAATATTTTATTTAAAAAAAAAGATTAATCATATAAAAAAATTATAGTTCAACTTGGTAATTTCGTGGGACTGAGATAGAGCTACCAAACTTGAATGTTTGACTATTCTTCGTTAAAATATGTAATTTAATATCAATATATTAATTTTTTAAAAAAAATTAAAAAATTTGGAGTGAATTTTTTATGATAAAAAAAATTAAGATAGATAAAATGGGCTAAAATTAAAATGAGGCGAAAGATAATATTTTTAAAGATAAAATTATAAATATCCAAATAGAGGATTGAGAGAAAAAAACTCATTAAAATCAGAGAAAATTTTGGAAAAAAAATTAATGGATTCAAACATAATTGACTTTAAAATCACCTTTCAAATATGGAAAGATGAACTTTGACCAGAAAGAAATAAAAAACTAATAAAAAAAACCTCACTTTCCGAGAAATTAAAGGAAAAAAACTCAAATTTTAAATAATAATATAAAATGACAATTAAAGAAATGCACAGGAAAGTTCAAAATAAGGGTGTGACACGTGTAGGAATATGATTGGTTGGAAGGATCACCGTCTTTTAGGTAGGAGAAAAACGTAATTTCAGGGGAAGAAAAAGGGAGGAAATGGTAATATGACATCGTGCTATTGCAGTAATGGAAATCGAAGGCCTATTTATACGAGGAGGAGCAAAATTCAAATCACAAACTGAAAAAAAAAAAAAAAAAAAAAAAAAAAAAAAAAAAAAAAAAAAAAAAAAAAAAAAAAAAAAAAAAAAA